ACACCAGTATGTCCTTGATGCCAAACCTTGAAAATACAAGAAAATAAAATATAATCTTTATCATCAACATAAAACAAAAATGAAAAGTTTTGCCTCATCTACTTATATTCAAAAGAAAAAAGAATATTGCAAAAGAAAAAATGAAATAATCAATTTCAGATTTTTGGAAGAATCTGAGATTTTAAAAAACTGAACATCAGTGTCAGTGCATTAGTTTTCTATTTCTTTATACTAATTAATAAAAGTGTAATGCCATAAAAAAAAAACCCACAAATTTGGCCCTCCCTGGTGGCTCAGCACTAAGAAGCTTCCTGCAGCCACTGCAGCAGTTCAATCCCAGGCCAGGGAGTGACCCACATGCCACAGCTGACCCCTCCTGTCTCCCCGCTGCTCCCCTCAGCAGTGGACTTCGTCGATCGGCCTGTTGTGCTCCCACTCTGTCTCTGGTGAAGCCTCTCACCACCCCTGCACCTCTGGTCTGTCTCCCAGTTCTGAATGCATAAATAAATAAATCTTTAAAAATAAATAAATAAAGTCATGACTTGATATAAACAAAATATAATTGTTGGAATTCAATATCCATTATTTTTAAATATTTTGCCACTTCTGGAAGAATAGCAGATAGATAGCTACATGCATACATACACGGACAGGCAGACAAAGAATTTCCACGTCCTTGAAAATTTCCGAGCGATAAAGGTTCAACATTTTCATGAGGAAAAGTGACAGAAAACTTCAGAGAGGGTAAGAAAATTTGGACATAGCCCCAGACCCACTTGGAACACCACAGCTGCACTGCTACTGAAGAAACGGTGGCAAACATGTAACATGGACATTCTTTGGGGGGACTAAGGACCCCCTCACACATCAGGGACCCTATTACCTGATCAGCCACTAGAGGGGGACCACGAAGCCGTATGTGGAAACTGGAAGTGTCTTCCTCTGTAGAACAATTCAAATTGAGGAGCAGGTCTGGGGCTAATTGCTGGGAACCAGGGTCAGAGGACAAAACCGCTGCCCTTCTGCCGTCAGAGGAATGAGCTGACCGCTGGGTCAGCTGCTACCGGGCAGAATGGGTCTAAGGAGCTTGTGGCTATCGGAGCCTGAAAGCCCTGGGAGCGGCTGCAGCTCAAGTCTTTGGAAACCTCGATGCCACTTACCAGAGCAGAATATGGTCTGACGGTGACCCCCAAAAAGGGAGCCCAAGAAGCATGTCTCTTAGCTGGATCCATCAGTAGATGAGACACAAACCTCACCCCAGCGTGGCTTGTTGCTGATTTGCATACACTTATGGTTCTCACTGCCTCAGTGCAAGCTTAAAGCTCTTGGGCCCTTGCAGGTGCAACTTACACTTCTGGCAAAACTTTGTTCACGGAAACTGCTGTGAGCAAACCCCAGAGACAGCTCCCTTCCAGTCAAAACCCCCTTAATTAGACAAAAGACACCTCCCACCCCACCCCCAACACAAGTAGGAACTAATTGTCATAAAGGACAAAGACTGTTAAAGACTCAGTGCAT